CCAAATCAAATTATTGTGGGGACTGGTTTTGATCTTTCTAATGTTATGTCGTCAAAACTTTCTTCTCTGGTACCAGCCTCAGCCAAACATTGAGGATGCATCCATTTCGAAGGGGAAATAATTACTTTCAGACTCTATGCGAGATTTTTTCTTCTTTCATTCAGAAAAGACATGATGATTCTTCATTTATGGCAAAGGAAGTGGTACAGGCAGAACAGGTTTCTCTCTCTTCTATTCATTTAGAGCTAAACAGAATATTTAGATTGCTAGAGAAATCACATCACACTGTCAAGTCTCATGGATGGGGTGTCGATCTTGTGAAGTCAATAATTCATTAATAACCAGGCAAGTGCTTTGTGTGTGTCTTTGAAATTTACGTTAAAAGTTTGAGAGGTGGGGTGGGAGCAGGGGGACGTCAGAATGATGGCTCTGCAGTGTCCAGTGTCGTGCAGACTTCAGCGGGGGTTTGTTTTTCCACTGGGTTGGGAAGGCAGGGGTTGCTCCATCCCAGAACATTCCCTCCTGCTCTTGCCCCCGCACCATCTGCAGAGTGGAGCAGGTGGCGTGTGGGTGAGAGCATTATCATGGTTTCATCTGTTGTTGCTTACGGAGAGAGGACGTCCCTGTTGAGGTTTTGGCTTTCTCCTGGTCTCACAAAAGTCCTCCTCTAAGATCAGCATCTCATGACACCGCCAACAAATGACCTCTACCAGAGGATTCTGCAGAGGCTTTTAAAAATGTCATCAGTACCATGCTGGGTCCTTGTGAAAGGTGGTTCCTTTCTCTTGCTTGCTTTAATGTCATACTTCTGGTGTACAAATGCCTTTTGTGACAGCATACAAAAGGCAGAGATTTTTCTGTTTTGGGGAGGCAAAACCTAGTCGGATTTCTGATGACATAGAAGATGATTTAGGTCCTATTTCCTTCTCTGAAACTTTCCCACAGTGTCAAATAAGGATTAAAGGACCAATTCTACAGGCTCTTGTGAGGGGTGGTGCTCTGTTAAAATGCATATGAGGGGAGAAGAAACCAACATTTATTGGAAACACAGTGTGAAGGAGACATTTAACACATGGTACGAATTCTCTCGTTCAGTCCTCACTATGGTTATGAGGAAGGTTTTGCCATCTCACTTCTTAGATGAGGAAATAGGTTCAGACAGAGTGGGTGACTTGTTCCTGCCTCTAGGTACCAAAAGGGTAGCTGAAATCTGGGTTGGTTTGACCAACCCTGTGCTGTTTTGATACTCTGTGTAAGTTGATTGCTTTAGAAATGCAGAATGTTGGCAAACTCATTTCTAGAGTACTTATTATGTGCTAAGCACTGTTTTGAGTTAGAGTCTGAACTGGGGTGGGTGGGATGAGAATGACCACTCGAACACGGAGGACCAGGCTGGGGAAATGCGTGCTGAGGATTTTGCCAAGGGGAGCATCAGTAACGCCCAAGGATAATTCAGGGTGGGGCCTGAGGCAAGGAGGTTGCAGTCAGCCTGGGTAGCCGGGTTGAACCTGCAGCAGAACACAATTGCAGGACCCAGGGCAGCCTGAAGATGGAGGCAGATGGTCCCCCTGCCCCATGCTGCAAAAGGGTCAAGTAAACACTGGCCCAGAGGACTGTAAGGCATTGCAGTGTAGACCAGCTGAAGTGAGTTTTAAACTCAATTGAATGTCATCTTGGCCACATTCCCTCAAAGCAGCGAAATTCTCGAGAGCCTGGCTTTTGCAGTTGAACCTGGCTTGACAACCCTGTTTCTACCTACTTGATATGTGACCTTGCACCTCAGTGTCCCCATTGGCAATGACAGCTGCTTTATAGGGTTATTGTAAGGATCCACTGAGATCATTTACAAGACGTGCTTAGCACAGTGCCGGCATGACTTAAGCATTCTGTACATACCTCCTCTGGGATTTTGCCTTCTTAGGTATTGCCTTCCTCCTGGCATCTCCAAACTCTCCATCTCCAACTATCACCCCTCCCCTAAGACCTTATGCTGATCTCCTTCATCTTAATAACTCTTCCTAGTTGTCCTCATGGTAGTATCAATCTTCCTTTTTTTTTAATTATAAAGGTATAATTGATATAGAACCTTTCTCCAGTCTTCTTGAAAAAGGACTCATAGGGTGCTACTTCTGTTTTGCAAGTTTCTGAGTAGCCTTGTTTTTTTATTTTATTTTTGTTGGGGAGGCAATTAGGTTTATTTATTTATTTTAATGGAGTCACTGGGGGTTGAATCCAGAACCTCGAGCATGCTAGGCAAGCACTCTACCACTTAGCTATACCCTCCCTCCCTGTTTTGCATATTTCTGAATCCCCAGTGTCCAGCGTACTGCCTGGCATGTAGCTGGCACTCAAATATTTGCTGAATGAATGAGTGAATGTCTCCATTTCCTCATTCTACATCCCCGGCTTGAATCCTTGCCACCTCGCTGCTTCTCTCACTACTCTTCTAAAACTTCTCTTTCCAAAATTACCTCTGACTTGATTACCAAAATTGGGGGCTGTCTCTTCACCCTCTTCTCTCTGACCTCTCCCTGGTCAATGCATGTCTTTCAATCAGGATTCCACCTTGCAGCATAAAATGCAACAGTGCTCCACAGATCACAGACAAGCCGAGGCTCCCCAGGTGCTTAGTTATCTACTTAGTGGCAGTGTCCTTTGAAGTCTTCCGAGGTCGCCACTCTTTGATGGGGGTGAGTGGCATCAGACGGTGAACATCCCGGAAGCCACCTTCCCTGATCGCGGCAGCTGGAAACAATCCCGTCCTCCTGTCGCGTGCTGGACCAGCTTTATCTGTGCTTCTCTGATGGAGCTCTTTCTATTTTGAGTTCTGGTTAATTGGAACCATATCTGTGTGACCTATTGTGAGTACACCCTCTGAGAGCAGGAACCAGGATTTTCCTCACGTTCCCATCCTGCTCAGCCTCAAGTATGTGTCATGCAAATGGAAAGAAGAGGAGGAGATCTTGAGTGTTTACAGGAACCCTGCCCACGGAGGGTTTAGAACAAGCTTTTCCACTCACGTGAGACTTAGTCAAGCCCTGTTATGTACTATCCCTGGCCGGGGTTCTGTGGGGAAGATCCAAGAGAGAATAACGCTGAGAGCACAGACCTAGAGGACACTCTAATTGGGCAACCAGCTATCTGTGCGAAAATGTTAAGTAGCAATTCAAAGACGTAAGAAAAAATACAATGAACAGCATGGAGGAATAAACATAGTTAAGTAATATTTATTTAGTAGCAATTATGTTCCAGCTGCGTGTTATAGGACTACAGGGGCTGGGAGGGGATTCCCTGAAGTTGCAGTGAGGTGGGCTGGTTTCTGGAAGGGATCAGAACTGTGCTGAACTCTTTGGATGACTCCATTCAGTTTTCCACAGTGTGAGAGAGGGACGTGATAGCATTCATCCCAGTCTACAAACTGTGGGTGTTGAGCCCTGTCCTCTTTGAAGCCCCGGTGTTTCGGATACAGTGGAATGGTTAAGAGAGAGCTGTGGGCCAGCAACGCTTGGGTGTGAGTCCGGACTCTGTCACGGTGGGTGTGGCAGGTCACTTTCTCCCTCTCAACCAAAATCCCTCCACTGTGGAAGAGAAATAATAATGCCTGCCTCTCAGGTATGAGGCAAATACTAACTAAGCGCCCACTATATGCCAGAAACTGCTCTAGATGTCAGCAATACAGCAGTGAACGAAAGAGCTGTGTTACCTGCACTCGTGCAATGTGAAGAATGAGATACATACAAACTGCTAAGCACAGTGCTGGGCACACAGCAGTCACTCCTTGAATAGTTGCCATGGTTATTCCAAGCATCTGATGGCGCTGAGTGCTCACTAACTAGACCCAGTTTGATTTCCACCCGCTTTCTGTAGCCTTTCTTTCCTGCCCTCACTGCGCGGTCGCTGCGTCCTTCCCTATGGTCAGGGGACTTTTCTCTGTATCTGCAACTGGTGCCTAATCACAAGCTGGCTTGTGTTTTTATTCCCTCGCTGTTTGACTTGGCCCATGGAGAGCCTGGGGAAGAAGAGCCTTTATGCAGGGGGAGAGCTTAGCATCACCTAGGAAAGGGAAGGGGGACAGACCCAAGCTGGCCTCAGGCTGAATGCGATGATGCGGGGCTCCTTTCTACATAAACCCAGCCCTCGGGCCTGACTGGGCTGGGCCCACACCCCACGGACACAGCAGCAGTCTGACCGACATCAGGCTCTGGGAGGAGGAAGGACCTCGGCAGCATCTGGCTGGCTGGCCAGCCGTCCAGGGACATGTGGTCTCTCTGATCTGGCAGCTACCGTCCTGGAGGAAGATGAGTTCAGTCCAGTGTCTAGTATTTTTTCAATGTCTTAATGTCACGGTGCAGCTTTCCCACAGAAAATATTTCCAAAATGTAATCAGAATAAATGCTAACTGTAATTAAGTTGAGATACTGCTGGGCTCAGGAGGAAGCAAGGGAGACCTTTCCCGGCTGCTCTTGGCTGATGTGAAACCTTCACTGCCCACTGAGATGGGGGAGGGGGCTTGACTGCTGCTCTGTCCACTCTTCCCCAGGGCCTCTGCTCCCCTTGCTCCTGCAGCGGAGCCGGGTCATCAGGAGAACAGACCGGGATTGCTCTTCTTGTTTATAATCTGATTTGGTTTGGGTCTACTCCAGGCTTGTCTGAGGCAAAGTTCTCACATACTCCAGTAACTAGGTAACCTGACCTTCAATCCTGCCATTTTCAAGTTAGAGGTACTTTATTCTACATGCCGTCGTCTGGCTCATCCAGCTCAAGTCTTGGTCTGAGTTTTCACAATAGGCTGTGTTCAGCTGTAGCCAAATAGGGCATCCTCAGTTTTATATATATATATATATATATA